TTTATCTTCCTAACCCCCCTATTAAGCATTTTTCAGTATAAATCTTCAGTCTTGGGTTTGAACTCCCCCTGGGCTTGGCCAGCTGTCCTGGTGAATCTCAGCATCCCTGCAGCTGTCCAGCAGCCAGGCTTTCACATCCCCTCTGTTGCTTGCCACGCAAATGGGCACCTCACCTGAATGAAAAAGGCTTTTTATTTTCGGGCAGCAGTCAAAACCCCGTCGAGGAGACATGCAAAGCCACTCTAGCATTTTGTTAAGGAGCACGTGGAGATTGGCATTTTATCATTTCCCATCCCCACCAAGAAATCTTTAGAGCTCTGGGAGACGGCAGGGGCTGCTGGCCCCAGTACAATTCGAATTGGCATCAGATGGGGATGCAGACACACACAAAGGCCAGCCTGTTGCACGGGGATGTAACTTCAGCTCTGCTCAAAGGTCAACCACAGGAAGTTGTTATCCTAAAGGGAAATAAATCAGGTGGTTTAAATCTATGGAGGGGAGTAACTTGCTCTATTAACTGTTGTTTTGGAGGCTGCACAGGCAACGCTTGAAAAATGAAGTGAGGATGGCGCCTATGTTTTGCATTATAATTCAATTTAGCAATACCACACACACACACACAAAGCTTTATTGCTAATGGATGCACCAAGCAGACCTGGCTGCTCTACATCAACAGCAAAACAAAGAACTCCCCATCAGCAGTAGGCTATCATTAGCAGTAATGTTATTCCAAAGCGTGGTGTATCCGTCAGGCAAATGTAACTGCATCTGACATCCACCACAGTTCTATTTGCCTGGCTGAGATGAGACGTTTCAAATTGAGGAACATCTGTTTCGGGCATGTGATGAATCATCTTCAACTATATTTCCTATTTCCTGCTATCCTGTGAGATCAGGCAGTGGAAAGGAGTTACATAACGCTCTGATTGTGTTGTTTTTTCAGTACTATTGAAATTTTAGATTTTTTTTTTTTCCCCAGATCTACGGCTCATTTCATGGTTTAAAAAAATAAAAAAGAGTTCCCACAGAGAGGATATTTCCATTTCCAGAATTGGAAGAAGTTGAAATAAAAACTATGGATATTCTTCCTTTCCTACTGACAGTAAGACAGCTGAAATAGCTCACTCGCCCCTAGATAACAGTCCTAGAGAGGTACAATGTGATACTTGTGCCAGTGTCCTCCTCAGCTGATCAATTGTCTCACTGCATGTACTAGAATTGCAGCTGCCTGCAAGAGTGTGGGAGAGTAAGAAACAAGGTAAAGTAGAAGTTTATGTAAAATACAAAAAGAACACTGTGAGAAGTTTGGTCATAGAGGAGTTTGGCAATGAAAAATAAGACCCTTTGATTGAAATGTAAAATTTCACACATCAAAAAAAAAAAAAAAAAAGGGATTAATATTCCAGCAAGGGGACCTGCCAGCATATCAGCACAGCACATGTAGAAAAATTAATGTAGCCACTGACGTGCATGTCTTCTGCATTTCAAATGAAAATCAAGAGCTATGAAGAAGAATAGGGATGTTTTTCAGTGTGCTGGAGGGTGAGTAGCAACACGAACACCTTCATGCATGAGAAAGCACCATTTGCCAGCACCCTGAAGAGGATTCCCCCTGTATCCAGCTTGTGCACCTGCTGATATAAAGATACTTGTTTCTCAGAGGATGGTATTTGTGGCATCCCAGTGCTGTGCAGTGGGACAGCAGCACAGCAGACCTTGTGGGCAGCCACAGGGGGGTTCAAATGCTTGGAGTGTTGACTTTAAAAGGAAGGTTTATAAAACATCTTCACAATCCTAAAACAATGAAAGCATTTAGACTACTTGCTCAACTGGCAGAAGGCAACAAGTTCTGCAGCTTTTGGAATTCACTTTGGTTTCTGGACATATTACATTGTTCTGAATCACAGCAGGTGGTTCAGAGCCAGGGGATTCTGGCTGAGCACAAAGTTCTCTTTCAGTGGAAACTTCAGATCCAAACACTGGTCCCAGCTTCCCTTCAATTCATTGGAATCTGAAGTCAGGAATTTAATTTGGGCTCCTAGGCCATCACTCCAGTTAAGAGGAGTTCTGTGCCTGATTAGTACAGATATTGTTGGCTGTGTATTCAGCTTCCAAAACTGAATGCATCACAGCTGACCGTGAGCATTCCTCCAAAAGCAAACTGCCACATCAGCAGGGCATCCAAAGCAGCAAGAGCATCTACACCAGCACCATCTGGTGTCTCTCAGTGGTTTTATCGTCCTGGTAAGTGTTGCAGACAAAGAAGTCAGCACACAGAAATTAACACCCAATGGAACAGTCGCGTCCTGTCACTGCCACTACTCTGTCCCAACTCTCAGAGTGAACAAATGATGCCATTTATCTCTTTCCCTGTGATCTCACAGTTGTCCACATCCACTGAGTTCAGGGTTTGCTTTGCTTTCAAAAGGAGGCTGATTTATATCTTTTTTCCCTGCAATCAAACTTGGGCTGCATGAGAAAAATCAGGAAACTGTTCAGGAGCCTGTGCAAATCAGCCTTAAGCCAAGCAGGTTTTTGATCAGTCTATCCCAGGTACCCCTGGAGAAGTTGCCTGTCACCCACCCTCATGCTTGGCTATTTCCCAGAGGAACCCCTGCAGCCCTTGTGCTCTCAGAGTATAAAGAAGTGTTTTCCTCAGAGGATGCACATCTGAAATGCAGGAGATCTCGGTGAACTGCACATTAGACAACACGAAGGAAGCAATTCTTCAGTTCCCAGGCAATGACCTTGGAAAAGTGAGTTCAGTACTTTATTCATCTCTACTGGTTGGAGGATTCTGCTTTATTAAGAGTGTGTAGTGTCCCATCTAATGGGGACCAGCCTTTACATATACATGGACAACAGCTTGATTTCTTTCTAAATGAGTGTCTCCTGTGACTGAACTCTAAAGGAACACTATTCTTGAAATTAATCTTCAATGCTCTAATTAGAATGGTAGTGGTTACAGAATTCTCTAATGGCTACTTTGAAGAAACAATTACTGTCTTTATTATGATAACCCTCCAGATGAGATACTACAGTTGACAAAAGATTATTAAACAAGTTGTTATTCAGTCATTGCCTCACTCAGGCAGCAGCTTGTGCATGTAGTGATGAAGGCCAACATGCCAGCACTTAAAAGTGTTGTAATTTGGGGCTTAAATTTTTAATGCTTTTTGGACAGTACAATATTGCAATAGATTGGGGCTTTTTTTAGTAAATCAATGGTGATTCAACTATAATTAGACCCTCATAAGAATGTAGAAGGTGTGATCAGCATACAGAATTGTAAACCTTTTATTTCATCTTTCTCAGAAATGAGCATAGAAGGTCAGAAACTAAGACAATAGGCATTATTTCCCAGAGTAAAGAATTGACTTAATCCAGTTTGAGTCTCTTTATAGCTGAAGTCATCAGTCAATCAGAAATGTGACTATAGGAAAAACAATGTCAAGTCCATGATAAAGTCTGAAAGTAGCAATTGGAAGGAAAAATTAAATGCTGGTTATCCCACTGAAAGCAGTGTTATTTGGGCTAAAATAATTTTTATTTCTACAACCCTTGGGTTGTACCTACTTGTAAAATATCTTGGCAGGAAAAGCATTGCAGGAATGTAAAGATATTATCATGAGACTACCTATAACCACTCTGCTCAACTCTTCTCTCTAGGGGTAGCTGCTTCAATGAGTGAACAGTCATTGAAAATTTGAATTAGTTTTGTGTATTATAACTTCACTGGATAGTTCATTTTTCTCTGCTATGGATAACACAAAGATCCTTTCTAAAAAGACAGTGCCCCAAGTTTTCTAATCAGATTCTTATACCCTGGTGACTCTGCAGAGCATTTTCTAATAGAATTGAGGCACGGGCTCTGGAGCCAAAATAGAACAGGCTATTAAAAATGTTATCTCTACGGGAGCTTATAACAATACTAAAACAATTCCATGATAGAGAACAACCCACTTGGAAAAGAGATGCATTAAGTCAGAGTCACTGCCACTCACCAAAACCTTCCAGTGAGGGAGAGTGATCGATGGAAGGAAGGTCCTGTACCAAGGAAAACAGCTACCTCTATAATGGCATTATTCAGTATATTCAACAACAGCTTTTTGAAAAATCATCCAATAATGACTAAATCACTGATGATTGTCTTATCTGATCTCAGATTGGCTGTATAATTATAATAGTCATAGTCTGGATTCTCTAAAAGTATGCAAGTAATAACATCCGAAGTCTAAAAAGTAATTTTCTGCATTTTGATGTCCTTCAGTGCTCTTTTCTTTCACTTGAGCCATGTGCTGTGTTGGCAAGTCTCCATCCAAGAGCTGGATGGCATCAACAGACGGTACTGGATTCTCAGAAAGGGAACATGGAGAGAGCAGCTGCAGATTTCATCTGGTATTGTCAGGGCATTATCGCACTTCGGCACCATAAGGCTGCAGATTAGTCTGTGCTGCTGTCAGTGCTAAACTGGAAAGAACTCTGCCCATCCCCTGTAAGGTATTCTGGTAGCACAAAGTGAGGGGGTTTAACACACCGAGTTCTTCAAAGTGCCACAGTTCATCTCTGTAGATAGACAAAAATTCTCCAGAGCTTTATTATTTTTTTTTTCTGTTCCAATAGCACCACTTGCCTCTTTCTAGTTGAAGGTATTTGTGAAATAACAAAGCTCTGCCGAAATGGCCCACTGAATACTCACATCCTTGTTTGTGTTGATTCTTCCATTGCCATCCCCTAGCATTTGGGGGGATGTTCACAAAAATCTTTTACCTTCCCCTATGTCTTAGTTACTTCAAAACACGCAGGGAACGTGACAAAAAAGTCCCCATGAAAAACATTAAGCACCTTGGACAAACAAAAGTGCATGTGCCCAACGATCCACACCCGTACATTGATGCTGGGCTATCCCCAGCCCTTACCCGGGAACAGTTTCTCATTCATGGAAGATCTGCTTAGAAATTCATGGCCCACTTGGGTCCATTGCTGGGAGAAAGCCTCACCAGGGTTTTTGAATGCTGTCCCTGCTCAAGGTTGTGTCCTTACAGCAGTGTCAAGCCCAGGGTACTCGGTTTCCTAAGCAGCAGGTTGGCAGCTCGCCCTGGCGTAGCTGGGTAACAGTTCCTGGGTAACCACCGGGATTACTTCAATATGTTCAGCCAGGGCTTAGTTACTGAAGGAGTTCTGCTAAAAGGCTAATTAAAAAGTTCCAACCCACACTTACTTGATAGCAAAATATTGTTTGTTCACTAATTCGAAGACATAAAGATTGCAGGCCCAGGTGCTAATGCAAAAAAAAAAAAAAAAAAAAATGGTTTTCTTTTATATGCACGTTCCTAATATAAACTTCCACACTGTATAATTTACATAAATCCAGATTAGTTCCCCTCAGGAGGAACAGCTTCACTGCTTGCAGCACATTCTTTCTGTCTGGGAGTCTTCCCAGCCTGTCAGCTCCCTAACTGACACATTCTGGGAAGCCTCTCTTGGCTCACCCAGAGCTCCCTCCCTTTTCTAGTTCTTTGAGGTTTTAGGCTTCTTTGATCCCCCACTTAGCCTTGGGAAGAGCACCCAGTGTAGCCTGGATGGAGCCAGCTCATTAGCTTTTCTCCAAGCGATGACCCGGCCATTATCATCCCAGCTCCTTTGAAGCCACCTATCTGAAAATATCCTTATCTGTGTCATTGTCTTACATTTCCTCTCTGCTCCTCTAACAACCTCTTGCTCTGATTTAACTCTCTCCCTGCTGGCAGGAAGGAATGTTGTTTTGAACGGGGAGACATTTAGAACAGGAATGAGGAATGCATTCCTGATGAGAAAAACAAGCTTCCTTTTTTTTTTTTTTTTTTTTTTCCAACACCTGTTTAGACTTTCCCCTGTTATTATGAAATTGGAGAGGCAAGAGGGAGAGCTTAAGGATTTCCACCAGGTCTGATCTAACACACGTGTGTGCAGAGGACCTGCAAGACCAGAGTGAGACCTTCATGTTTTCTTTTCTCTGCATACACATGTGCCTGGTCAAATTCTGTGGTCCCTCTTGGAAAACTGTAAGATTTTTATAAAGCCATAATCACATATAAGTCATCAATTAGCAAATTTTCTCCAACTGTCCCAACAGTTCTGTTAAATCAGGATCAGGAATCCTTTTCTTGGATTCAGTGGTGAAACTTGTGTGCAGTCCTGACCCAGGCAACCTTCTCACACTGGAAAAATCAAGCGGGTCATTTAAACAGCCACAGAGAAGACTGGTTTGGAAAGAACCGAGATAATGTCTGAGATTAAAAATAAAAGATCTCAGCATCATCTGCCTTCTTCCCTTCCTTAAAATCAACTGTAAAAACTCCCATAAACTCCATGGAAGAAAGTTTAAGAAAACATTCAGGTTTTCTGAAAACACCCTCCAAAATCTCTGAGCAACTGCAGCAACTTGCAATGTTACCTTTAGGTGTGAAGAAGGCATTAGTAAATCTGTTACAAGATGTGATCTTTTGTCACTGTTGTACTTCTCAATAATTTAATTACAAAAAAAAAACCCCTGAGTTATTTTCCCAGATTTGGTCTGATTAAAATTAAATATGAGCCAGATGGTTTGTAAACATTTCAAAAGTGTAAGTTATGACGTAAAAAAGTGCAGAAGTCACAGGTAGGCAGTGATCCTTTCTAATGAAGCTGGAGACAGGAGACTGGAAGTTTTGGAATGAGGTGCTCTTTGTAACAGAATTTTAAAGGAACAGTGACTGATGATGAAGAATCATTTCAGAAAGAGTCAATCATTCATTTTCCCACTGGTGAAATTCACTTGAGGTCTGGGGAGAAGTACAAAAAGGGCCAAATCTCTCCTGCATTGAGACTATTAAAACAATATTATTCAAACAATAAAATATACATGAAAAAGGTATCTAGTCATCTCCACTCACTGCCAGTTTTCAGGTTTCCTTGTGAGATCTACTCAGTGTATATTTTAGTCAAAGTGATTTAAGTAGTTTTGTTATTCTGTTCTTATGTTTGTTGGGGTTGCCTTTTACAGGTTACCATGGGTTTTTCTGGTTATGAGACTCGGGATTTTATGTTGCACTTACAATTTTTTTTGCCACTACCTTCAACACATTCAAGATCAGTGCCCTTTCCTGGAATTTTATATATCCCTTTCCGCCTGTTTTTATTGCACAACGAGGCCCATTGACTTTTTATGGCTGCCACTGTGGCAAATTAATTATTCCCTAATTATTAGATGAGTGGGTGTGGCTATGTTGCACCACAACCTTAAAACACGACATCAGGAGTGGAACATTGCATCAACTGATTAAACATGTTCCTTCTTTGATGAACGTGTCCTTCCCTCTACATCAGGCCCAGTGAATGGCAAATTACTGTCATCATCACGGTGGCTTTACATTAATGGTACATAAATACATACCTGGGTCCAGCAGCTGATAAAAAACACCATTTTTTCACGGATTTCTGGGGTCCATGACTGGAAAGAAAAAGGGAAAGAATAGCTTAAGTGTGACATTCAGTTATTTTGCCTGATCCACCATAAGAATAAACTAAACTGTTGTCATGGTGGTAGTTATATAAGGCCCTGCAGAAAAGAAAACAGAACACGAGCCATCCAAGCATTTCCAAAGTGCAAACATTTAAATAGCAGCTTCTGTTTAGTTTGTGGTGTTTTCTCACCTCCTCACTTCACTCTCCCACGTTTAATTAGCTCCCTCCAACTGGAGACCCTATCACTTATGCATGGTCTGGATCAGAAGTTCTACCTCCAGCAAAGATCTACTTGCTTTCATTCTGGATAACACTGTTGCAGCCATACAAGAACGCAGAGCCCCCGGGAAACAGGATTTTTCATAATTCAGGGTAGAATTTTAAACACGGGGCTAGAAATACAAAGTATCCACGTCCCCAGTTTTAAAGGAGTAAAAGACTTCAGTGAAATGCCGATGGCAGTGAAATAATATTTGCAGCTCACAGCGATCATCTCCCATGTTTGCTCCAATGTGTTAATGGCTCAGGCAATTTAATTTACATACAAGAGCACAAAGTGGAAAGCAGTTTCCTTCCAACACCTGTGGTACTTTTTCTGGATGTATTAGGGTAATTCTAAGTGCTTCAAATGAAGAATATATGAGGAATCTACTAGTAAAAGTTCATTAAATTCTTGTACTAAATACTAAACAGTCGTGTTTAACTTGAAGGTTTTCACGTTCAAAGAGATCCTACTTTCATCTTCTAAGTCTCTAAAGAAGGCTGCGGGAGAAAAGGTTCAAATAATGTACCTCTTCTTTTCTTTAACTTGAAGGACAGCAAAAATCCTTCCAGACAAAGCTTCTTTCCCTTCTTTCTTTTTTTTCTACAGAAAGAATATGCATATTTTATCACACTTTCTTCTTAAACTCTTTCACACCTACCAGGAGATGTCTGTACTCCATCAACATGCAGTCTCCTAACTGAAAAATATGGACTGTATCTACCTGATTTCCATAACAAAAAGCCCTGAATTGAATAAACACTCATTTGAGAACTGGTGATGCCCAAGCAGTTCACACTTGGAATTGTTTTCCCAGGGTTCTGCACATGAACTCGTTGTTTGGAAAAGATGGAGGTACTTAAATCCATCAACCTGTGTTTTACACAGGAAAGAACCAGAATTTTTGAGAGACCACTTGATGAACCCCCCAGGCTGCTGCGCATCAGTGGACAACTCTCACTGGCCAAGACAGGGCCACAAAGTGCTGCTGATCACCAATAACTCAGTGCTGATGCCAGGGTGAATAATTACACCCGGAACAACAGCAGAAGATGTTGCTGTTGGATTGAACTGAGCCCCCACAAACTGACAGACTGGGGTGAACATCTTGAAAGTGGCTTCTTCACCTCTTCATCAGCCTTTTATTTTTATTGGAATGATGTCAAGTCAGAGCAAATAAAAAAAGCCCAACGCTCAGTGATGCTCTAAAGTATAACTCCAGCAGTTGCATCATTGTCTTAAAACCCACACCCCATTTGTTTGAAAAGTAGGACTGGAAAAAAAAAGTAGAGACAAGGAGTGGGGCTTTCAGCTTGACCTGTCCTTTTAGAATTCTATCACAAGAAATTCTGAAACAACGTGAGCCCATAGTTTTTATTTGAACTGTTAATATATTCATATTTGCAAGTAGGTAAACTAATTAGGAAAAGCTTTCAATCTCAGGTCAACTGTCCGAAGATTTTAGGAGCTGGGCTAGAAAATGGTATTGGTCTATCAGTAAATATCAAGGACATTTTTTCCCAGCTTTGTTAAATGCTTCCATTAGCTGAAAGTGTATTATTTTGCAGTCAGAAGGGTGTTACC